AAAAAAAAAAAAAACTAAATTTGTAACCTTCGTTGTGTTATAAGCCTTTCCATCTCACTTTCAATTGTAGAAAGAGCAGCGGGCTGCAGCTTTTCGAAGTCGTTGAACATGAACGGTAGAGAGCGCGCCTTCTTTTCGTTCTTTTTCGCCATAAACTGTTCCAACATCTAGTAATTTATTAGGTTTTTCATCATCGATATTTTTATAAGTGTTTGAATTCTTTGGAAAACAGGAAAAATGCGATCTGCCACACTATCCTCTCATAAATTCCAATCCAGGTATTACATCGTGATGTGGCAGTAATATAGAACTAGGCAGCGACGAGATATGACGAGGAATAAACGCTGGCAACCTGATGGTGTGTGAACACACTGTACTAAATTTTGTTGGGCTCTGCATGGATAGTACTAAAATTCCAGCTTTCTAGCATTTCTGGTTCGCAATTTAGTAACTTATCTGCAAAAAATTTTCACAGGCAGAACCGCGAATACCTGAGGGCTGATTTCGAAGTCATTGATTGTACGTGAACAGGGGACATCCCCTTAAAATTTCGGCTTTCTAGTTTCTCGGGTTACTGTTACAAAAGCCGCTGACTGGTGATGTAACTGTTATGAAGCTTTCCCTTACGATTCTAGTAATTTTGGTGAACACTATGCTACCTGTAAGAGATTTGCATAGGCTGCCTGAAATTTGTATCGCGCCGTAGCATCCAGTACATTTAAGTGAACAGTGCCAAAGCTGTTCATCGGCAACGCGCATCCAAGCAGTGCCGCCATCACCGCACTCAAATCAATCTTAAAAGAAGATTTTCTTAATACCTCCAAAATGGTGAGATTGTCCAGATAGTAGATAAGTGAAAAATTTCACGGCGAATCCATTATAAAAAGTTGAAGAGGAAAGCTGTTCCTATCTCAGCTTTCAAAAAGTTTCAAAATTATTCACAAGCGTAGAAATTAGCCACTGAATACAGACTCAGCCAAAGTCCAAAATTTATTTGATCAAAGAAAAATAAAATATAGCTAAAGGATAACACAATTCGGAAGCAAATTTTATAGCAATTTTAGAATTAAAAAAAAAAAAAACTGGTCCCAAAAATACTTGGATATGCTGCTGCTATACTAAAAAGCGCCACTTACTGTAAAACTGGAACAAGGATCAACAAACTTCCACTTTTTAATGCGTTTTGTGCTGTGTAACAGCGATACAAAACGCATATTGTCACGGGGTTGTCTATGTGTGTGTGTTTGTGTGTGTGTGTGTCCGCAGCAACTTGTCCGCAACTTTCAACTCGGGAACC